AGAAGAAAAAGTGGAAAAAGTAGAAAAAGCAGGAGTGCTCTTCCTCCAGAAGAAGCGGAAGCGTTTTTTCTTCTTGTCCATGATCTTTTCCACCAGCACTTTCTTCTCTAGGACGAGGGTTCTTAACTCATCAATTGTTTGTGTATTTTCCTTCTCAAGTTTCCTGCATGTTGTCTCCACTTCTTCTAATTTGGCTTGTTTTTCTTCCAGCCTTTCTTTCAGTTCTTTACATTTGGCCTCCTGCATAAGCTTTGCCTCGTGCATCTCTGTATAACTCTGTTGTAATTTGTTGTGTGCGTCTTGTAGCTGCTGACTTCTCTCGAGTTCTTGAAGTGTACACTGCAGGTCTGTGTTTGTTTTCTCTAGTTGCTGCTTTAACATCTGCACCTCAGTGTTTTTGCACTTAAAGTTGTTGGAAAGTTTCTCCAGTTCTGTGTTTTTTCTCAGCATGTCACTGAGCTTTCTCTGCATCTCTGAGCATTGTCTTTGCACTTTTTTCTTTTCCCCCTCCAGCTCAGTTGTTTTGGAGTTCAGTTTGTTATAACGCTCTTGCAGCTGTTGGTTTTTCCTCTCAAAGTCCTGGAGAATTTGTTTTTCTTCTTTCTGCTTTATTTTCCGTTGTTCTTTGTCTTGAAGCAGCTCTTGATATTTGTGCAGCGTTTCATCAAGCTTTACCTGCTGCGCTCCGTATTTTTCCTGCATGCCTCTCTGGTTTATGTCCAGTTTTTCTTTCTCTTCAAGGATTTCTTTATTTTTTTGTAGAGCTTCATCAAGCATTACTTGCAAACCTTGGTTGTGTTTCTTGATGTTCTGAAGCTCACAATCCAGATCTTTCTGTTTCGTGTCATGCTGTTCTTTGTCTTGTAGGAAATCCTTATTTCTTTGCACTGTTTTATCAAGCTTTATTTTCAGCGCGGTGTATTTTTCCTCCACGCCTTCAAGCTTGGAGTCCATTTCTTTCTGTTTAATTTCTAGTTGCTTTTTTTCTTGAAGCAACTCTTTATTTTTGTTCAGTGTTTTATCAAGCTTTGCCTGAAGCCCTTTGTACTTTTCCTCCATGCCTTGTAGTTTGCGCTGCTTTATGTCCATTTGTTCTTTTTCTTGGAGGAGTTCTTGATTTTTTTGCAGAGCTTC